ATAGATAACTTTTTAAGCTGAAAGTGTTATTAAGCTAATCACCCTCCATTTATATTATAGTTGTATGTCAAAACTAAACCCTGTAGTTATCAAGGAAGAGAGAGTCTAAACTCATAGCAGGAACTTCTCTTTGTTAATCAGTATTTCAGTCTATAATGATGCAGGGATGCTTATTAGTTTTGTACAAAAGAAGCTGTTACATGATAGGAAAACTATCACCAAAGAAAACCTGCATCACCCCACTGCTTCCATAAAATATAAAGCTGCACGGAAGTCTTAAAGCCTTAGAAGAGGGCGGCCTGTACCCCGGAGTTTCTTTCCTGCTAGCCCTTCCGCTGTGATGTCTTTGCAGCAAAGACTGATTCCCCTCAACTAAAAAAAGGGTGAGTTTCTGGGAGGGAATGAAGAATACGGATGGAGTCAGTAAAATAATTGGAGAATAAAGCCTCTCAGCATTACCACGTGCTAAATGCAAGGCTTCAAGCTGAAGACAACCCGCAAGACAAATTCCTAGCCCTAGGCACTCATCGCTGCTCCATAGTCTCATACTGGCTGCTCATCTACTCACAGCGGGGTCTGGTCTTTGCTGGAAACAACGCTCGGAGGAGGTGGTAGCGCCCATGGAGACACTCAGCATTGCAGCTGTGTACACAAGTGAACTGGTTTGGTCCGGGAAGGCCTGGACATTAATCCAGGGCTCCCAATTTGCACCTAATCCTGTTGTTTCCAGCTACATAAAGCAGCCGGTGTGCCAGCAAGCCCGCTTCATGCGGAAAGGATAGCCACGGCTGCGGACAGCCTGCTCACTATGCAAACGTGCCACCAGGTCAACCCAGCTCTCCGGCAGCCCCCTGGAAAAGCCAAGGTGCAGCAATTAACGGAGACAGCCAGCCATGCCTGCGGCTGTATCAAAGCACACGGCACGGCCAGCAGCGGAGGCGCTGCCCTCTGAAGGCGTGAGGGAAGGCAGGGAAGAGAGGGCGAGCAAGCGCAGAGGGCTGGTACGAACTCCAGCGCTGAAGACCAGGCCAACAGCAGGAGAGCACAAAGAGGAGCTGAAAAGGGGCCGAAGGGAAGGACAGGCAGCCTGGCGTAGCTCGGACTATTCGAGCAGATAGTTTTGAACTGGGAAAGGAGCACTAGAATAAAAAATAAAGGCCCTGCTGGCATCCGCCTTCATCTGGCAGAAGCCTGTTGAGGATAAACCCATTGCAAACAGGTTTCTGTCTAGAGCGGGTAGGGTGCCCGAGGATTTTTTAAGAGAGTTCAAAGCAGTGTGAGGACAATGAAATGTAGTGATAAAAGGCATTAGAAAAAACAATTAACACTTACTGCAAACCCCAGCACAGCAAAGCCAGATCATGGAGCACTACTGCCTCTATCCAATTAAACCAGCTTAGCTGTAAGACATAGTTTTTGATGCATTTTTAACAAAAAGCCAAAGTAAAACAAATAGAAATAGCTAACAATAATAGAAAAGAATAAGAAAGTAGGTGGGAAAGAGATAAGAGCATATAACGCAAACCCTCCTTGGAAATGCACGGCTGATGCTCTCCTCACATCCACACAGACAGCTGTGACTGCTCAGAATGAGCCTCTCTCTCCCAGGGAAAAGGAGATTACTCACAAGCTTGACTAAGCTCACCTGCTGAATCATTCCTAAGTGTGTCCTTTTGTGCTCGGAAGTGAGGACTGTTGAGAAACGATGAGCGCTAGATGCTTGCTTAATTGGAAACGCACTTAGATGTGGCAGGAACTCAAAACAGAAGCCAAAATTTTGGAGGGAAAAACAATTTTTTGTCTGTTTTGTGTAAACCACTTCCTCTTCCCCCTTACCGTTCTCCCACATGTGTCAGGCTTTCCATCCACTATCTTCCCGCAATTCCAGGTGCATTTTCACTGAATGTCTGTCTGTACAATCTGTGGTATGGGAGACTAGGCATTTCCACCAATAGCCTGTGATTTTCCTGCCTTGAAAAATGATTTAATTGAACCATTTCCCTATTATTCTCTAGTCTAGGCATAATAATGTCCTTTTTTTTTCTCTCTTTCAAATCCTGCTGTAGCTACAAGATTGAAGATTCAAGTGGTCGCATTTTAGAGCTCCTTGGCAAAGCTCCCATCCAAATGCACTTATGTAAAGTGACTCAGTTTTGCTTTCCAAGGGACCATCAGCAACATTGGAGAATTTGATACCTTCCTGCCAGAACCTCTCCTGTGTCAGGAAAAGGAAAAATAAAAGTAGGATTTCGAGGGCTGGCTACTCTAAGTTGAGGTGTATAAGTCATGCTGCACTCTTTGCCACTGTGTATGCCAATGAACAACTTTGCATGCAGAAAATTAACAGGTGTAAATTAGCTTTTGAAAAGATGAGACATGGGCTGGAGCTCTAAAATTAATATTTAGACTCCCTTACCCTAGACCTAGGGAATGAGGAATGAACACACATTTCCTACATTCTGTAGCAAAACAGCCTTCTCATCAAAGTAGAGAATAAAGGAAGTCATCTCTTAAAATTTAAGTGAATTCTCTTTTTTATGAGCTTGGCAAAGATGTGAAAGACAACTGACTGAATAAATGTAGCAGGAAATCCTTTCTTCAGGTCCAGCTGACTGTAAATATCTGAGGTTTGTTTACATTTCGTCAGCCACACCAACAGCATTTCAAATGGAGAGATCTGGAAAATGGTACCTCTGTTCTCCTCAATTCCGACTAAGGAGATTTTCATTTTCTTTTTAAAAATTGTCCAAGACAATGGTTTTTTTTTTGTAGGGAAGGAAGAAGGCGAAAAAGTGTTGCATCTAAGAAAGGGCTTTTTCTCCTCAGAATCCACACTAATCTATTAACCATGCAATCCCAACTTTTCATGGATAAATTTGTAACAAAAAAAAGGGGAAAGATTGTCCTGAAAGACCCAGCAAAACCCATTTATGCTCCAGCTAAAAAACATGTTTCCTGGCAATTTCCTTCTTGCGTAATGCCAGTGACTGAAGTGGAAAAGAACCTTCTGAGATGATGGGTGCTTTGCAAAATCATTTTGTTGCACAGGAATTAAGATCATCAGCTGCAAAGAACTGGGGGATGAGAAATCTCATGATTCATGAACTACTTCAAAGGCTTATCTTCAAAGTGTGAAAGGAAAGACAAACCAAAGCCCAGTTCTTTGGATCTTGCATTTGTTTGAATTCTTTTATATAAGGAGTGCAATAACTATATATTAAGTAGTTTTACATATTTTGTAACTACCAAGCCTAAGGGAAAGATTTGCAAATAATGCACTTCAGCAAGCATTATAGAAAAAAAGACAATATTCAAACAGAAAAAAAAAATATTTCCGGGAGCATAAATAAGGAATTGTACAGACCTGCGGTCAGATCTTCTCTTATATATTCCTGGTTGTACATGAAAATAATCGGCACAATTTCATTTCATTCAGGCATGCCATTTTCTGCACATGGATCAAGGTCCTTTTATTCACTAATACACATTTCCTTTATAATTTCTGCTCTCGTTTGCAGAGCATAAACAGCTTCTAATGGTTTCTCTCTGCTCTACACTTGAACAATGGCTCTAGTAATCAAGTAGAAAATTAATGAGAAGCAAAAAGCTTATTTGTAATTATGCTTAGACCAAATAATTGTTATTTAAAGTAAAAGCAATGGGTGAACTGTTATTCTACAAATCTCCTCTAATTCCTCACAGATGCTAATGAGAGCTTGTTATACCCACACCCCAGCATTACTTGCTTCCCCACATTAGTTCTAAAATTAGCTTCTGCTTTGTAATCTATTTGTAATCCAGGAAACCTTCCCTTCCATTCCTGATCCCCTTAGGATCAACACTATTGTCCTCATGCTTAAAACTGTGCATGTGCTGAAGGATAGGCCGAGGTGGCGCGGCTCCATCGGTACTCCCCGATTTCAGCAGGGCCTTGGAGCGGGAAAAGCCACTGTCGAGGACATGAGTCAGGATACAGGGAGAAATTTCCCTCTGGCAGACTTGGCCACTGCGGAGATGGCTGCTAACACTGGGCTGATCACGCTGTGTGCAGCCAGACAGGGAAGACTCGCAGGAAGACCTTGCACATGGGCAAAGGATTCGGTTCATAGACGACGTTTCCTATGGAACCACAGATTTAGGGATGTCTTATGAGCTTCTGTTGTTGGATTTGCTTGCTCACACTATTTCACCTTCTACGCAGCCTTTTGCTTCTCCTTGCCGTTTTCTCCCCCACCCTAAGGACTATCCATAGAAGACAAATTCCAGGTGCCAGTTTCTTTCCTGCAGGACCTGAGGGCTGATTTATTTTAGCCAAAGGAGCCATGTTGCCATTACTGTGAGATAGTGCTGCTAAGTTACTGTGGGTATCCAATGATATGCACCATGTCCCTGGGGATGGAGCAAAGCCCGTACTTTGAAATGCCTTTAAATTATCAGTCAATTCAGGGTCTGGGCTAACAGCTTTCTAAATAGGATGACATTAAAAAAAAAAAAAAGAGTGAAGGAGAGAGGGAAATACAAATCTGGAAGAGCTGGAGGAGCCATCAGAACTGTTAAGAGTGCAATGCCCTCCTCATCCACAGCCCTGAGAACATTTTATGAGGACTAATTTGCACTGCTGTGCTACAAGGTAGCAATGTCTTTTTTTAGGTAGAGCTCCTGAGGCAAGTCTTGATGCTAGCAGGTTCCAAATGCTTCAGGGCCCTTTTTGGGGAAATGACACAAAGAGCAGCTCAAGCCCATATTCAGAAACAGATCTGATTTCAGCTCTGTGAAATATGAAGCACCTCTCCCTGGAGCCTCCATGCAGGTTCTTCTTGCCCTGTTGCAAAGCTTCCCCAGTGCAGAGCATGGCAAGTGCATGTAAAAGCAAGAAACTAAGCAACAATTTTAACTCATTGTCTTCTCTTTTTCCTCAATACTGAGCAGCACAAAGGGAGAGAGTGCACCCTCAGCAAGTTTGCTGATGACACTAAACCATGAAGAGATGCTGATACCTCAGAGGGCTGTGCTGCCCTTAAGAGGGTCCTGGACAGGCTGGTGAGATGGGCGGAGAGGAACCTCACGAAGTTCAACACGGGCAAGTGCCTGCACCTAAGGAGGAATAACTACATGCACCAGCACAGGCTGAGGGTTGATCCTTCACCTCTACTCAGCCCCAGTAAGGCCACACGGGAAGCACTGTGTGCAGTGCTGGGCTCCCCAGCACAAGGCAGACATGGAACTAGTGGCGAGAGTCCAGCGCTGGGCTGCAAAGACAGGGCACTTGAGCATCTCTCACCTGAGGAAAGGCTGCAAGAGCTAGGACTCTTCAGCCTGGGAAAAGAGAAGACGGAGGAGGGGATTTTATCAGTGTGTACAAATAGCTTAAGGAAGGGTGTCCAGAGGGCTGGGCCGTACATGTTTCAGTGATGGCTGTGGCCACAAACTGAAGCACAGGAAGCTCTATCTAAACACCCGAAAAAACTTCCTTAATGTGAGGTAAGCAAAGCACTGGAATAGTTTGCCCAGAGGTTATGGAGACTCCATCCTTCAAGAAAATAAAAAATAATCTGGATACACTCCTTGGAAATTTGCCCTAGGCAACCCTGCTTGAGCAGGGCAGGTTGGACTTGATGAGCTCCAGGGATCCCTTCCAACCTCAGCTGTTCTGCAACAGCCAGAAATGATGCTTCGCTTCCCCCCTGCTTTATTCCACCTTGACCCATCCAGTAGGAAATGCGTCAAGATTCTTTCCCGGCCCCTTCAATGCAAGCTCCTTTTCCTATCATTTTTATTCTACGTTACAAACCAGTTCCAGAAATCTTTCTCACGCATAGTAACGTTGATTGTCTTCTCTTTTTTCTTTCTCCTTCCCTAGCTGTTTATATCTAAACACTTCCTTCAAGACTCTCCACTTCTGCGATCCAGTCCCGGTCGTGCAAAGTGCTGCACAGAGATGAATTCCCACGCTACCATATTCAACATCTTTCACTTGAGCTTTGCCTACACCCTGCACCATAGTTGCACAGGGCAGTTGGAAGAAAACTTTGTGGCAATAGTAGAACATGGTTGTGCCCTGTAAAACCAGGACGTAATGAAGGATGGGTACTGCACCAAGATCAGAGCGCGGCATCTGGTCCAATGCTGGTTCTTTTCTTGCCATTTCAGAGCACAGGCAGAGTTAGCCTGTGCAGATGGGCTTGGAGAAAGCTACAGCTCCCTCAACAAATAGAGACATCCCTCAGCTTTTAACATCGACACAAGGACAACCAAACAAAGTCAGCGTGAGCTTGTTTTGCTTTGCATTCATTATTGCATGTACAGGAACGTGCTCTTCAGACACAGGATTGCAGACAATTCGTCACAAACAATCAAGTCACCCTCAGACACATTGAAAACCCAAAGGCAGCACGCAGAGGCAGTGCTCTTTCAACCAGGATGACACGTAACTGATGTGTCTTTGATAATGTGAAGCCAGCAAGAACAGAAGACTCATCATTATGCACATAATCTTTTGGTATTCTTGAAAGATATCCTAGTAGTCTGACATCTGCACAGGCTTCTCAAAAGCCCCCCAAAATTGTATTATTACTTTTCTTCCATCTGGGAGCAGATCAGACAGTACTTTTCCCCCCCTCTCTCATTAAAGCTTCTTGTCCCTTAGGGATAGTGACAATAATTAAATCTGCCTCAAGAGACTGTCTGGCACCACTGTGTGAATAACCTGGCATGTGCAGCACGCATCCGATTAATGGAAACTTCAGTCCACTGCACACAGAGTCAAACTCTTGATTTTTGTTTTCCCTCAGCATAAAGCGGAAAGCTGAAAGCGATGACCATGACCGGATTTGTCTCTTAGGGACTCTCTTGTGGCCTTGTCTCCCTCTCCCAGCGGACTCAGCTCTGTGCAGAAGCTGCCCCAGTTTGCTTGGGGGGTTTTGGAGATGTGCAGGTGAGCAGATCCTGCCTGGCTGAATTCCCAGTGGAATCCAGACATGCTCCTGTCATTCCCACTGGAATGCGTTCATCCTCTTTCTGCTAACGGTCCAATATCTAGACTTGTCATTATTCTATCATCTTAATAACTGCACATACCCTGTAGTATTCATGCGTTATATGCAGTCTCAGCCTTACAGTTTAAGTCTGCTTCGACAAAGGCTTTTTCCACGGAAAAGGTGCACGTTCAAATTTCTGTCAACAGTCTCATCTTTCTTCTTACACCTTCCCAAGACTTGTAAATTGACTCAAAAACCCTCCCAGCTGCATGGTTGACCAACAGAGCTAGCTGACATGGGCTGAGCATTGACAGAGCTGGAATCTGCAAGGGTGGACCAATAACAATTTTATGAGGACATCTGGAAGAGGCTTCTCTCAAGCACAGCCTGGGATTTAACGTGAAAATGGAGCTGGCCATCAGGCTACTTGGTCAGAGCACAGTGGCAGAGGCAGCAGCACCTTGGAAGTCTACAAGAGGTTCAGTCAATGTCCTTAGATGGCTGCTCAGCACAGCCAGGCCAGAGGCCAGCAATCTTCTCAAGGAGGTAGTCCAAATTCCAGCCCGACGCAGAGAGGAGCTCAGCCTACACCTCCGTAGCTTGCATCCGCACAGAAACGATGCTGGGTCACCCCGTTCACACTGCCCTGGTGCCGAGCGACTGCAGGCCAGCGCTTAACATGGTGTTGCTACATTTTGCTGGTTTTAATTGTTACTGCTTTATGAATAAACAATGGAAATGTCTCTCATAAAACTTTCATGGGGAGTTATTGCTTCTAAGAAGTCTAAATTGACATTTTTTTTTAATTATTCAGCTTGCTTACCCATGTAAAAGACATTTTAACTATTAATAATATTGATAAGATATTATGCAAAAAAAAAAAAAAAAAAGGAAGCTACAAACTATGCTTCTTTTCTACCAACAAATGAAAATACCCTGCCAAGGAGCTGGAGAACCGGGACAGAGCACGTGTGTGTGGATGAGCGAAGCGGGAAAGCTTGGGCGAGAGAGTCATTTAGCAGCCTGGCCTACTTAGAGTGTAATTGGACCTAATGATGCTGAAAGATCTTGCGCAGGTCTCATTTCTCCGCACAGCAGAGAGGGGGTGTGGGCCATGGTGACACGCTCGTAGCTCAGCAGGGTAATGATGCCTTCTCTGGGCTGACCTTCAGCTGGAATAGCTGCTTCTGGCCAGCACCCATTGCTCCAACGGGCAGCAGGAACTCTGCTCGAGAGCTCCCGTGTTACAAATTTGAGTTGTCAACATGACATCTCTCCAGCAGATACGCATCAGCCAAGAGAAAAATCGTATCGATACTTTGCAATGGCACCGGTCAAAACATGGGCAGGGCATTAGATGCATTGTCAAGCTTAGCGCGGAAGCCGGTCGCTTTCTCTTCATCAAGCCGAGCGTTTATTCTCCCAGCAAATTGTCCAGGAGGGAGTCAGCAGCTGCCTGCGTTTGCCCGTTGTCTGTTGGATGCTTCTGCAGGGCGATCGTCTTTTGCAAGGTGTTTGCTCCAGCAGCTGTGGCCCTGCTCATGCTGTGCCGGGCCCGTCTCCTGCCACAGTGACTCCAGTGCTTCACAGAATGGGTCAAGGAACAGCTTGGGCTGAGGTGGCTTTGGCAGGAGGGAGAGGCGTGTGAGGAATGGGAAGTGGCTGAGGCACAGTCAAGGATAGCTCAGAAGTGACTAACTACGGGCGCTCAAGAATGTTTTGGACATCTTTAGGTAGTGAGATACCTTCACAAGGCTGCAGATGTGATACAGGGCTTGGGGAGACCTATATCCCCTCAAGGGTCTATCAGAGACCAGGTGGGATCCCCAAGGCATCTAAAATGGGGTAAGATGTCTCTGCTTGTATAGCCAAACATTTTCTGCTCCATCCTCAAAAAGAAAGCAGGGGAAAAAAAACTGCTAACTGGAAATGAAATTCTTGGAATAAATGCACAGCTTTCCAGACTTCTTCTCTTAACATGGTCATCTATCTATCTCCCTTCCTTTTAAGGCTCCCATTCCCACCCTTTCCCTAGCTCTGAATAAGAGAAGGGAGGAAGATGCTCAAGTCTACTGCAAGTCTAGTTCTCCACTTTGTTGTCTCAGTCCACAGCCAAGAAGCCAACCAGTTCCTGATACACTCTCGTCACTGGTGCAGCTAACAGAGAACGTTACCTGGGTTCAAGCTGAACCAGATTAGCTCCTCCAGAATGCGAATGGCAGAACTGGAAATTACCTGGTTTTGTTCAACAGAGCTGCATAACATCCATTTCATACTAACCTTTATTGAAATTTGCCTACGTAACATCAGGTCACTATCTGCACATTTTTACACCTATTTTTTTGCCATGTTTTCCAGCAAGTATACGCAATTGTCAAAACATTGTATTTACCTAGCAAGTTGCACTAAATTCACTGTAAGTGACCTGGAAAAAGAGCTCCGTTACAAAATGTGCAAAGAAACGAGGGGCACACAAAGATGAACTCCTCTTCCCTCCTATTCTGAATACCATCTCCAAGGCTGCCAATGGCCCGAAACTGGATGGCTGCCGGTTATGTACTTTCCTGAACAACCGTTACTCGCCACGGATTGCAAAAATAATATTGGGAGTTAGATGATGCGTTTCAGATGTAGAGATGGCTGAAATGCTAATGCAAGGCCTGACTTTCTGATCGCTACCAGTGCGGGTACCTCACCTGGGTAGGGAGCACCACTGAATGCCTCAGTGGAAGCTGGCCTGATCCCTCTTCCAGGATGGTTCCTTCCCACTATGGATTTGGAACATCCCAGGATGCACAGCAGAGCTAAGAACTGCTGAGGTCCATCTCTGCCTTTCCTCAGAAGGTCCTGAATTAAAACAGAAGAAAAACAATTTTTAAAAAGAGCAAATGGATAGATCAGGGAGGCAGAGTTACCAAGAGGCCGACGCCATGAGCCAAGGATTGGTGTGTGCCTTGTAGCAGCTTGGCGAAAATTTCTGCCGCTTAAGTGTCACACCAAGCTAGCACCTTCCTCAAGTGCAACACTTATTTTCTCATTTCGTCTTCTGCTATCACACCCCAAAGCCTTCCCTGACTCTTCAAGAGCAGTATTTGATCACACGATTAATAGGCACATTACTTACTGAGAAAATCTGTCTCATAATATGGCCTAGAGTGCAATATTCAACGGAAAGTATCATATTGTCATCACTAGTTTCCAGAATAAACACCAAGAGAGAAATCAAGGTCATTTACAGATTCATGTATTTTTCGAGCAAAGCTGGAAGATAGTCTTCACTATCAGGAGGGAAATGAACTTGGAACCAGGGTTTTTAAAAATGTTAATCTATACAGACGAATAAAAAATGGGAGCTACATTCTGCTTGCAGATTGAAAAACAGGACATCCAAAGCCTAAATAAAAATAAATATATAAGCTTTTTAATCCACTTCATCTTCAGTGCTGGGGATGAAAATAAAAAGTAGCTACAACTCAAGAGAAAACTGCCTTCTCTCGAAGTCTCGCACACCAGCCTTTTCCCTCATGTCAACATTCTTTATTCTTCATATCTTCTAGTGTATCTAATGTGTGCTGCTCTAGTTCTTTGCCTATCAAGTGGGAATAACACCCCCTTTTTTCCAGGGGGTTCACACTAACCCAGGGCTGAAACATCAGACTGAGGAAGATCATACAGGCATCCAGACTGCACTCCTACAGCTCATGATTCCGCAATGGTACAGTGCAAGAAATAGATTCTCGCAAAATACCTTCAGGTGCTCGTGCTTTTACTATTAAAAAGTCAGTTCCGACAAATCACTTACCCAAGTAACTACAAATTGTTTAATAAAACATATGAACGCGCTGAAACTTGGACCCATTTTACCCATGTTGGCTCACACTGAGTTGTTCCTCATTTTGCAAAGAGTCCCACTGATCAGATATGGGCTATTAGTAGAATAAAATACTATTCAGCATGACTAAGGATGGCAGAATTGGCCCAGAGGGATATCAAAGTCATTTAAAAGTTACCTCCTCAAACATCCTTGCAATCACTTAGTGAATTGTATCATGCTGTTTTATGATCTCTTTTTGGTTAATCCTACACTTAATAGTCAATTATTGAGTCTTCAAAGCATTGTTTGTAATCAAGCATGTTTCTGTGCCTATCTCAGCAAATTACACTAAAGCATACTAGTGTGATCACAAAGATTCCCTGTTACGGGCATTAAAAATACAGGCAGCTGTACGTAATACTCAGTTACTCATATATGGAAGTATTGTGCTCTGAAGAGTTGCTGACAACCCAGGGAAAACTTAAAAAGAAGTTTTATTTGGAGACTTTTTAATATAAATTATAGATCTTGTGTACTTTTCTTCTCTCGTTTCTTATTAATAGAAACATTTGCATGAAAAGAGGATCCCTATTCCTTGGCGTTTGTTTGCTGCTACTGGGGCTGCCTCCCCTTCACCAGCAGTCACTAAAAGCCTCCTTTGTGCCTCCCTCCTGGTGCTGTATATTTAACTAGAAAGTTAATCTAAAATGATTTTCCATTCTAGGTGGGAGTGGATGAGCTAGGGGGAATAAAAACGCATTATTTGTCCTCATTTCTTCCAAGAAAAAAACAAGAAAGAAGGGGCAGGGAGGAGATAAAAGCTCTGAGCTGCAGTCCCTATGAACAGAATGTTTTTCACAGCTTCCCATAAAACAGCAAGTAGCTTCAATGAGGTTGTAGTGACAATACTCCATTTCCTGGCAATCTGATAGTGAGAAATGAAATGACACTACAATTCATATTTGACTATGTCTGGAAGTTGGGGTTGCAAGGTTAAACTTCACATCATAATGCACCAGCGCATCTTCCATCACTCCCACCACAAATGCTGCTTTGTGAAATCGAATTGCCACGGGTGATGTGATTTGATAAACCCACACTGCATCTGTACACAATGTGTTTTGGTCATATAGCAGAAAGCATTCCCGATTGTGTTTCTGACACTTGTAAACAATGGGCGTTTGGGGTCACGCAGCAAAACCTACGAATCTAACAATTTGTCCTGTCGTACAGAGCAGAAGCCACATCTCACATTTTACTCAAGCACAAATGCAAACTGCTCTTTATGTACTGATGTTATGGATCCAAACAGTCTGTCCTCTGGTTTCAGAGGACATGGGGTCAAACGTGATAAATTTCACCAGTGCAAAAGAACAGGGAAAGGGTCAGGATCCTGACCGACTTTCTGGGGGCCACAATGACTGTGTTCCTAAAAGTTCAAATAGCTCAAAGCTTTCAGCAGATGCCTGGAGAAAGCAGGTTGAGGGGGAAGCATTACTGAGTGGATAGTATCGAGCTGTGAATTCAGATACAAAGAATTTCACCAAAGTTTTCTCAACACGTCGGAGCCACTTGGCTTTCAGCACAGATGACTCCATAGCACTTTCAAAGGAACAAAACCTTGACTCTTCCTACCTTCATCTAGTGCTTTGCGGGCAGCCAGAAAGCAGACAGCAAGTACTAGTCTGTAGGCTCACTATAGGATTTTTAAGATCCACACGTCTTCCCTTCAACTTGAGTACATTTTCTTTCTACCCGACTCCAGTCCCAATCTCTTTTATCAAGCATCAGCTTGCTGAAACTCAATCTCACATAAGCCACTAAATTCTCCCTGCCAATGCCGAATGGAGAAATATATGATCAAAAGTTGTGAAACTGCCAAAGGGATGATAGTCCTCATAATTTACCTGATAAAAGGCAACTCCACGGGGGATATTTTAATAAATGCAGCAATGGCATGTTCCAAGGGAAATGCTTTCAAATGCTCAAATTACATTCAGTCCGTAAAACCTGTTCAGAAATTAAAAGCAAATTGATTATTATAAGATGATCACTGAACTGAAGCTCAGCATTCAAGAAGTTTCATAATTGCCAGGAAAATTAAAAATAAAAACTGAAAAAGAGTTTCAAAAGTGGCTATCCATAACTGTGCAAACATATTGATTCCTCTGATGTAGTGGCGCGAGGATTGTGGTTGTTTTCTGTTTTCTCAGCCCTTTTCAAAACCATCTTTCCCCAGAAACTGCCTGTCCCCAGCTCGCCTCTCCCCAGGGATGTGTATTCTGCAAATGACTGATGCTCTGAAAAGCGCACGCTGCACATACCAGTGTATTTTAGGCAAAGACCAGGTTTGCCTCCTGGTTCCTGCTGTGACAGCAGTGACCCATGCTAACCAGAATCTTTTTGGCACAGGTTTGGCTATTTCCCTGACCTCCAGACGTTTTCTTTCATTACGATATGTTATGCCATACATCCTGCTAGGAGCCTGCAGGCAGTGCCACTACAGCCATGTTAAATAGTTCAAGGTCTTCAACAGAACATCCCGTTCCCCCAGCGCTGGCACAAGACTCAATTTTCCTAAACGCATCATTTGGGCCTAGGGCTATATTTCCTCTGTCCTAACATTAAAGACTTTGAGGTAGCTATAACCAAAAACTGGAGTCCTGAGGTGCTCACTCTAGCCTAGAATGAAGCGCTTTCCATCTCTCCCGCTGAAATCATCCGTGGCTCATTGGAAGAACAACGAGTCATTGCTGCAGCATTTCTCAGTCTATCCAGCAATCTATCCTGCTTTGCTAGATGTCCCACAGCACTTCTCTGCTGGCCAGTTCTCCGGCCCACTAAGGGCATCATGTACCATTTCTTGCCTTAACCCACCTCTGTGAGAGCCCAAGGCAATCCATTCGTTAGCCTGAACGGGCTTTGGATCAGATCACGTAAGTGAAATACATTTTGTTACCAAATCTGATGGCACGTACCTGATATGAAACACTAGCTGGTCTGACTAAAAAGAAGAGTTACAGACTTCTTATTCAGCTTTCTTTTGAGTAAGCTTGGTCAAATGTACAGTTTAGCACTAATGGATATTTTTCACAATGAGAATTTCCATTTTAATACCATGAAAGTGGCTCACTCTGGCTTTCCATAGGAATCACATCATGTCGACTTTTGAAAATCTTTTCATGTTTCATTTTAAATGCTTTCCGTGTTTAAATGCTTTCACATTTTTAAATGCCTTTTTTTTAACATCATAACAGAACAATTATATTAACTCTGAAATGGCACCTTCTGGCCTACCCAGAAGAACAACTCTCAGTGATGGAAAATTCTGACCACTACCTCCTCCCCTATCTACTTTGGAACAGAAACCACTTGCAAAAACAACACTGTTTCTGGCCAGAAGTCCCTGCACCCAGTCAGCTGCAGGCATACGGAACAAAAAAACCTCCTTGCGTTCTCTGTGGAAACAGAAGCACCACAGAGAGAACCTGAAATTAATCTTAGTGTTTACCAAATGAACAAAATAGCTGGCACATTCTCAGATTTTATGGAAAATGTTGGTGGTTCCACATCGAAAGAAAAGAAATCAGAAGCCACAAAACAAAAGGATCATGAGGAATCAATGTGGATTCCTTGCTGAGGAATCAAGTTGGTTCTCTGGTCTTATCAACCCTATTTCCTACTTTAGGGTGGCACAACCGAAAATAAAGCATTTTCTACAGTAACTATGCAGCATTTTTCATGCTACGCTAAACATTTTTTTTTGCAACATTTTAATATGTTTACATTATAGATTAGTGTCTTAATTTGGAAAGCACTTGCAGTTCCTTAATTTACATAAATCACATATTCCATTTCTGTATTTCTAGCTTAGGCAGCTAATGCACTTTTCATGAACACTTTGCTTTGTTTGTAATTTAAATTTGTTACAAAACCTGCTATCCGAGCAGGGGAAATTAGCCCTGTGAGAGGATCGGATCATGATCACGAAGCCGTGCTGATGGTGCTTGCTGAAGATGTGGACGCTTACGCAGCACTCGTTCTACACCCTTGGTTCAAAGTAGGAGCAATTTGAAGATACTTGAAATGTTTTCTTAATGCCACATTACGACACCTCATGACCATCCGTGGGAGAGGAGTAGCATCTGCATTCAGCAGCGGTTATAGAGAGAGACCTCAAGAGATCAATTATAAAAAGGCCTCAGATATAGAACAACCTTTTATCAAAGAAGTCTAAATGCAGCTTCTTGGGTGAAAAAGCAAAAGCCTTTACGAGAGCAGCATAAATGCACATTGCGTTAGATACCATGTAAGCACAGCCGAGGTAAATCTATGCAGGTTGGAGAACACTTCAGCTGCCTGCCACTATATACACGAGTTAAGGTATTAATGACAAAATTAATGTCAGGTAAATATGGGGGTTCCTTTGAGAGGAAATGCCAAAAACAGAGTACACGGGACTACAAACGCTCACACCCTTTCGGCCTACTTGCTTGCAAAACTGACCTGCATTTGTGGATTTGTAATGCAGACAACACGAAGTAGTACGTTGAAAATTTTTGGAGGAAGAGATTATTTCCAAATGGAGAGTGCTGATGGATTTAACCTGCTATAAAGTAGGAGGGAGCCAGAAAAAAGGCACTCAGTGAAGATGTGCAAGGATAGGGAAATAGGAGGGGGGATCAGTGCATCTTTGGGAAGAAACATGCTTGATTATAGCACCTAAAGGTAAGCTACCCTCTTTTTAATCCTTAAACTGCTCGATAAGAAATAGCCCCTCTATTTCTAGCAAGGCAGCATGACTCCAGTGTGGTAGGTCCTAGGCAAGTTGGTTTTTATCAAGCTAGTGGACATGAGTCTTGATGAAATGTTGGCCAACAGGGCGCCCACTACAGACTGCCAGTACTGCTTTTATGGGAGGGTTGTATTATTAGACCATGTCTCAGGAAGCAAGCAAATACAAAAGGGATGGAACCAGGGGAAAAAAATCCAGTAATTAGAAACCAATGATTAGAACAACCTCAAGTTGAAGGTCTTAATTAAAGCTGCCTATCACCACTGTAAATTGGCTGAGAGAGAGTTCAGAGATGAAGTAAATGGGCAGAAGAGATGGGGATTTAAGGAATTTTGTTTGTGTTTCTAGATGCAATTCTGGTTCTTTGGAGACCTGAGCCTGACTCATATCTACTTCCTTTCCTGCAAGACTTCAAGGTGTTTTGCTTCCTTCTATCAAGGTTGGAAACAACCACTGACTGCAGATCAACATGAGACTAGGACATTTGCAGGTAAGAAACTTCAGCTTTATGCTATGCCTTGCAAGTATTTTCTTTCATGTAGGCACTAAGGGGCAGAGTGAGCACTCTTTTGTCATCAGAGCAAGTGGGGGACTCTGGCCGAAAGGCTCTGGACCAGCTATGTTAGCACAGACACTGGGAGACCTCAAATAAAATGCAACTGCCTGGAAGAACTGTCCGTTTATCTCCAAAGCTTTAAATTTCCCATACATAAAACCACCTCATTTGCGATGGAGTGCGAATTTAAACATTAATGAAAACGGAGGATTTATGAGCAAGAAAACCAGGAAAACAAACTGCTGCCGCCTTTCCTTAAAATCAATATGGAAGCAAAGGGAGAAGGGCACGGTTTGATTTTCTGCCACACTGTTTTTATACATCTACTTGGACAATTCAGTTCCTTTGATTTTTCACTTAACTTATTATGCCCGCTTTTATTTAAATGAAGCTGCTTATAAGGTTGAGCCATTTGAGACAAGCTATTTGGAAAGCCTTTGGGAAGAAACCTCCCGTTAACAAAATCACTACTGATGCTGGACTGCGACTAAGCAGCAGTTGAAACGTTAAGGGGATACCATCACTCCTGCACGTGCTGCTCTTAATCTCCTGGATCGGACACGCTGGTCACAAATTGGAGCCAACAAAACATCATGCAACCATCAACTTGCTTTATCCATCCTGAATGCACGGCGCTAAATATGTAACTACATCTCTGTCTAGAGTTTTGATTCCCATTCTTACTACAACTGTATAGAAGTTAAAGCAGCAAAGCATCTGAGACTGGCCAGATAGCAGTAGAGAAAAATCTTGGAAGAAGAAGTATTCATTTCACTGTAATGACAGTGAAAAGTACTTTTTTCTCCTAGTTTTATACAAAGCTTTTTAATATGAACACCTTGAGTATTTCTAACTGAAATCTCATATTGAAGATATTTTGCATAAGTTATCATTCATTTTTTGTGATCATTTATTCACTAAATTGGAGAGAACAACGCTAGACATTATTGTCTCTGAGTATTTTTATAAGTGCAGCTGCTGTCACTTCATTTATGAACTAAAATTGATTAAATCTAAGCTAAAAAGGTTGCTCCCAAGAAGACAAGGCAACGAGAACCTAAAAGAGAAGTAACTAGCTGGGGGCAGAGCTTGAATCTATGTCATAAATCACAGATGTCTTGACTGAAAGGAAGGTGTTTGCAAGAAATTTCATAACAGTACCTGTTATTTAAGAGAAACTGGGAAAAGTACCAAGAGTTACCTGAAGAGTTCTTGTATCCTATAGCGTTGCTCAGAGAGTTTGAAGATAATTTAAGGAGTTGTCAAAGCAGAATTGTCAAAATAGGAAAAAAAAATAACAAATGAAGCTAGAAAACATTGTCATGCTTGCTGGACAGAGAGATAAGAAAGATGTCAAAGAGAAAAGCTCTCCTCTTCCTTGTGGGAGGAGGAAAAACCCAAACCTTGGCTGTGTGGTAGCACATGGGCTGTGACCTATGGCCAAGCCATCTTCAGCCGGA